AAAAAACTATAAGGAGACGCCTGTACAGGTAATAACCACTAGGTGGCAGAACAATCCAGGGAATAAGATTAGCGTCCCTCTTCAACTGTATTCCCTTACCGCACAAGGCTCAAACACTTTTCCTCCTAACCCTTCTTGCCCAACCCTTGAACAGATGAAAACTGCCAACTGCCCTGCTCCTCGCTCCTCCGACCTTTCATCAGTTTCATTTCTGAACATCTGCCATGTTCCTGGCTCAAAACTGAGGCTGCCCAGGCTCAGGAGCCTGGGACCTCTGCCCAGCCCAGAAAGGGGACCTTAGGCTATGTATATGGCCCACAAGGGGGTGAAAATTCCTTTTTAGGCGTGAAAAATACTCTTTTTCTATATAAAGCACAAGCAGGCTGGGGTGGGTCAGTGGTATGAGACCTCAGGTTCAGTACCCAGAACCAGTAGACCCAAAAAGAAGTACTTCACTTGAGATTGCCTTGACAATACTTTGGGCCTGGGGAGTAATGGCTTAGTAAAGTACTTTGCTAAGCAAGCATAAGGACCCGAGTTCCAATCCCGAGCACCCACCTTTAAAAAAAGCTAGGAAGGGCTGGAGAGATGGCTTTGCCGTTAATAACACTTGCTTAAAAAATAATAAATAAAACAAAATAAAAAAGGGGTCTAGAGAGATGGCTCAGCAGTTAAGAGCACTGGCTGCTCTTGCAGAAGACCTGGCTGGGTTCAAATCCCAGCACCCACATGACAGCTAACAACTGTCCATAACTCCAGCCATCTCTCCAGCCCCTAAATAAAATATTTTTTAAAAAATACTTGCTGTTCTTCCAGAGGACCCAGGTTCAATTCCTAGCACCCACACGGCAGCTAACAACTTTCTGTAACTCCAGTTCCAGGGGATCCAACATGCTCCTCTGGCCTCTGCGTGGGTGTTGCATGTACATAGTATAATTACATACATGCAGGCAAACACTCATACACATAAAAATAATAAAATAGTGTTTTTTTAAAGCTAGGCATGGCAGCACATACCTGTAACACCAGGGCTAGAAGGAGATGGGTAGATCCTGGGGACTCAATGGCCAGCCAGTCTAAACAATCAGTGAGCACCAGGTTCAATGATGGACTTTGTCTCAAAACAGTAAGATAGAGAGTGATAGAGGAAGACATCCTAACATCAATTTCTGGCCTCCACACATGCGTACACACACATGCATACACCAGGCACACATAGAGACACAGAACAAGAATGCATAGTGCTATAAACATGTTCGTGGGGGAGACAATTAACTGCTCACCCTGTGTTCCCACCCCCAGCACTTCACCCTGCCAAGCATACCCACGTGGCCCTAATGTTGTCAAGGAGGCTTCCCCCAGCCCCTGTCTCCTGGACCTGTGACCTCTGTTTCTTTGCATCCCTGCTTTTTTGCTGCAGGTGGGTTTTCTTACATGAAAAGGCCTACCAAGTACGGGACACTGCCATCGAGTCCTCGGTAGTTACAAAGGTGAAAGGCTTTGGACGCTATGCCAACAGAGTCATGGATGTATCCGATTATGTGACCCCACCCCAGGTATGGCGCTCCACCCCAGGGACATGTGCATGCCCACATCTGGGGAGGGCAGGGAGAAAGGCAGGGTCTTCAAGCCAGAATCCAGTGTCGTGATGCAGTAGCTATGGCACTGTTGGGTGGACATGAGTCTGCCCTCCACGGGGCAGCACTAGGCATCAGGAAGCTGGGCTTCCCCAAGACTGTGCCACACCTATACTGCAGTGGAGGACAACACATGAGGAGAACAAGAGGGGCCCCGGTGGTTAGAAAGAACTGGTTTGGAGGCTGGAGAGATGGCTCAGTGGTTAAGAACACTGACGGTTCTTGCAGAAGACCCAGCTTCGAATCCCAGCACCCACATGGCAGCTAACAACTGTCCGTAACTCCAGTTCCAGGGGATCTGACAGCCTCTTCTATCCTCCCCAGGCATCGCACAGCACGGGTGCACATACTTACATGTAGGCATAACACTCATACACATAAAATAAAAATAATAAAATTTAAAGAAAGAAAGACGGAGAGGAAAGAAGGAAGGAAGGAGAAAGAAAGAAAGAAAGAAAGAAAGAAAGAAAGAAAGAAAGAAAGAAAGAAAGAAAGAAAGAAAGAAAGAAAGAAGGAAAGAAAGAAACTAGTTTGGATACCCCAGGATGTTAGCCCTGCTACTGTGGCCACATCTCATAATCAGAACCCAGGCTTCCTTTCCTGTAGAGTGGGAATGATTGTAGACTAAAGCTTTTTATCTCTCCCTTCTCCTCCTCCTAAGGGTACCTCTGTCTTTGTCATCATCACCAAAATGATTGTTACTGAAAACCAGGTGCAAGGATTCTGCCCAGAGGTGAGGGGGCAAGGAGGGTTCAATGAAGCAGGTCAGGGAAGATTATTGGTGAGAGCAGGGTGGGTGGTGTAAACAGAGGTCCAAGGTCCAGCTTGGAGCTATGACTACCCCTACTATGGTAGACTGTAGGAGGGGTAGGAGCCAAGGGACCCACCAGGGTCCTTCATACACCTGCCACCCTGTTCCCCCACAGAATGAGGAGAAGTACCACTGCGTGTCTGACAGCCAGTGTGGGCCTGAGCGCTTTCCGGGTGGGGGTGAGTGCAGCCATTTCCTCCCCCCACACAATCCCAAGGCATTCATGGGACCCTGAAAGGCAGTGACTCCTCCACAGAGAAAGCCCACCAGAGGAGAGAGGGTGGGAACCAGCCTTCTCTGTGGAATTCTGACATTACAAGGCCTGCTGGGTGTCTTACCCAGCAGAGGATGCAAAGGTGCCATGGCTCCTGCCCCAGGCGTTCAGTCTAGGGATTGCAGTGACAGAGTGTGGTGGGTGGGGTGGCAAGTAGAGCCAAGGAGGTGTGAAGGACTGGGGAGCCCCTGGGGAGTGAGCAAGATTAATTCTAAGAGGTGGCCAGGCCTGGAGATGGTAACATTAAGAATGGGCCTGAAGATTAGGAGGATTTAGCAGGACGGACAGGGCTTCCCATAGGCATTCCAGGAAGAGGGAGAGCTCAGGCTCAGAGTTTAGAAAGAGCAAGGAAGAAGGGTCCTGGGTGGTTGGCACATGTGCCGCAGGTCAGCGTGCCTTGCTCTGCCTGTGCTGTCCCTCCACCTTCCAGGGATCCTAACTGGCCGCTGCGTGAACTATAGCTCTGTGCTCCGAACCTGTGAGATCCAGGGCTGGTGCCCCACCGAGGTGGACACTGTGGAGATGTAAGGATGTGTCTGTTGCCAGTGTGGGGGTTTGGAGACTGTGAGCATCCCCAAGTTTGTGGAGGGGTTTGTGTCTCCTCGAGTAGTGTTCTTTCCTGGGGTGGGGAAGTGATCTCCAGGTGTCACCTCCTCTGCCTCTCACCCTCACTCCCACAGGCCCTTGATCTATGAGAGGTCTCCTTTCAGAATACCCACCAGGAAAGGGTCCTAGGAAAAACCTTCTGTCTCTCTGCTTCTTCTGAGAGCTGAGGCCCTGTTGTCGCCCACAGGCCTGTCATGATGGAAGCTGAGAACTTCACTATTTTCATCAAAAACAGCATCCGTTTCCCCCTCTTCAACTTTGAGAAGTGAGTCTTTGCTTCCTCCCCCATTCAGTCTGCCATGTCCCCCCCCCCACTTTCTCTTCATCTTCCCATCTCCCTGGGGTTCTTATTCCCAATCTCCCTGCAAGCCTTGACCCTTAGGTAGTTTGGGGGGCTGATGGCTCTGCCAGTCTCCCTGCCCTGGAGCTCTGAATCCACATGGGAGCTTTGCTTGGGCCACTTAACCTGACACAGAGATTGGAGCCTGGGGTGCTGGTCTCTTACCTTTCTTCCCACCTCAAGCCCTCAAGTGGTCGTTTCTTTTGTCTTAGTTTGCAATCATTGCATTGACTCATTCATTCAGCAACTATTTGGTGGGCATCAGCCATGTACAAACCATCATGCCAAGTGCCGCAGAGGTGGATAAAGTAATTAGGAAAGATTCTGGCTGCCAGGAGGCCCAGCCTAGTAGTCAGGACACTAGACATGGACATCCGTAGCCCTATTATAGGATGGAGAGTGATAGGGGTTAAAAAACCATGCGGGGGGGCTGGAGAGATGGCTCAGCGGTTGAGAGCACTGGCAGCTCTTGCAAAGGACCCAGGTTTGATTCCCAGCACCCACATGGCAACTAACAATGGTCTGTTCCAGGGGATCTGATGCCCTCTTCTGACTTCCTTGGGCATTGCATGACACGGGTGCACTTACATACATGCAGACAATACAGTCATAAACATAAAATATATATAATAAATAATTTTTTAAAAAACATGGAGACATGGCTCAGCAGTTAGGAGCACTGGCTGCTCTTGCAGAGGACCTGGGTTCAATTCCCAGCACTCATATGGCAGCTAACAAACATGTATAACTCCAGTTCCAGGGGAATCCAATGCCCTCTTCTGACCTCCATGAGCATTGTGCTATACCGGTGCACTTACATACATGCAGGCAATACACTCTTACACATAAATTAAAAACAATAAATTTGAAAGAAAATCACACAGGGAAAAAGGGGTAACTGGGGAGTGCCTGAGAGCAAATGCCCCTGCCAGGGTGCGGAAGGTGTGAAGCCCCCAGAAGACTGGTGAAAACTTAGGCATAATTATCTGCACTTTGATCCTGCACCTTATCTCTCCCTTTTGTCCCCAGGGGAAACCTCTTGCCCAACCTGACAGCCAGGGACATGAAGACGTGCCGCTTCCACCCTGAAAAGGCCCCATTTTGCCCCATCTTGAGGGTAGGGGACGTGGTTAAGTTTGCCGGCCAGGATTTTGCCAAGCTGGCCCGCACGGTAAGGCCCTGCTTCCTTGTCCCTGACCCCAGCCAGCCCTGAAAGCCTCAGCCCTCCCATATCCTTCAGGGGAGGCCACTGGGATGCTGGGAAGGAGCTGCAGCAAGACACCAGTTGGTGGAAGCATCCCAGGCCACAGGTGTCTTTGTCCCTTAATCCCATCCATCCATCCTGGGGCCCACAGCACTCTTGCCTCTACTTCCCCAAGCCTCAGTTTGCCATTCATTCCCATCATCACATTTCACCTTACACAGACTTTTGCACTCTTTAAAGGAGCCACACAATGGGAAAGCGGATCGGTGGCAGTTTTCTGTCTCCTGTCCTGTACCTCAGGGACTTTGAGGCCATGAGTTCTTCCCCTGGAAACATCGCTTTCTCACTTTCTTTCCTCCATGCCCCACTTCCCACCTTGAGACTGGGAGGAAATCACTCATCACAAACCCTCACCCCCAACAAAACACAGAAGGGAACTTATATCTGGCCTCTTCTTCAGGGTGGAGTTCTGGGCATTAAGATCGGCTGGGTGTGTGATTTGGACAAAGCCTGGGACCAGTGCATCCCCAAGTACTCCTTCACTCGGTTGGATGGGGTTTCTGAGAAGAGCAGCATCTCCCCTGGTTACAATTTCAGGTAAGCCCCATCCGTGTCCTGGGACATCAGGGACAGAGACCACAGGCAGCTCCAAAGTTCATCGCAAGCAGAAATGCATATTGGGAGGAAAGTTCCCACATTCTCCTTCTGGCCCCCATCAGATTTCAACTCAGACTTGGGAAGGACTTTTTTTTTAATTATTTTTATTTTATGTGTATGAGTGTATTGCCTGCGTGTATGCACATATGCCTGCGTCGTGCAATGCCCACAGAGGTCAGAAGAGGACATCGGATCCCCTGGAACTGGAGTTATGAAGAGTCGTTATCCACCATGTGGGTGCTGGGAATCAAACCTGGGTCCTCTGCAAGAGCAGCCAGTGCTCTTAATCACTGATCCATCTCTCCAGCCCCAGGAAGGACATTCTCACAGCAATTCCTGATGGGTGGTCTGTGCTGTGAAGTAAAAGATCCAGCGAAGGAGTCTGCTAAGTAGTTAGACCACATGGTCCAGTTCTCATGGAGTGCCAGATTCTAGGATTCGTCACTGACTCCTAGCTCTGGCCCTGAAGCTGTAATGTGCCTACATCATGCCTAGATAGCACCATGGTCTGTCCTGTGTCTGAATTTTCCAAGGGTCTTTTCCCTCCCCCACCCCAGTAAAGGCAATAGCTGGTATCATTTCATTTTCCAAGGTGGCAGCTTGTGTTTCTTTCCAGAACCAGGAAATTCTATGAATCACAGATAACAGTAATGATCATTAGTTTTTCTTCAATGCCTTTCAAAACTTTTGTATAGTCTTTTAAATATCATCTATTTACAGTCCCAGTAATTCTTGAGATCTAAAGGATTTTTTTGAGGTTTTTCCATTTGGAAGAAAGGAAAAGAGAAGAAGCACAAGGTGAACTATTGGAATAGCTGAGGCCCTTGAACAAGCCCTGACCTCCTCCCCAACTCATTTTGTCATCTGTGAAATGGATAGTGCTGTTGTTCACCTGATGAACTTACTGGCCAACAGATGCTTTGTTTTCCGTGTGTGTGTGTGTGTGTGTGTGTGTGTGTGTGTGTGTGATGTGTGCATGTCTATGCATGTGTGTGTTACTGTGGGTGCACATGTGCCACGGAGCTCACGTGGAGGTCAGAGGACAACCTTGGTGTTAGTCCTTGCTTTCTACCTTGTTTGTGACTTGTATACACTGTGTACATCAGGCTAGTTGGTGTGCATGCTTCTGGTAATTCTCCATTCTTTGTCTCCCATTTCCTGGTAAGGGTGCACTGGAATTACAGACGTGTGCTGCTTGTCTGGCTTTTAAATGCATTCTGGAGATCCAAACTCAAATATCCAAACTCAGGTCTTCAGGCTTGCATGGAAGCACTTTACCCACTGAGCCATCTCCCTAGTCCTTCCCTTAATTTTTGAAGACCCCCCCAAATTCTTGACAGGATCCTAAGTGTGTAGTGTCATATGCTAAATAAGCTAAGTAGACTAAATAGGCAGTGATTGGGGGGAGGATACATGTAAGAATAAATTTGCTACATATTCAAAGAATTGTTACTCAAAATTCTCTTTGTTGTAGAATTCTCCAGTATAATGGCATGTATAGCTACATTTCTTTTCTTGTTCCTGTGACCAAAAAAAAAAAACCTGACAAAGCTATTTATTTATTTATTTATTTATTTTGGCCTTTTTGAAACAGAGTTTCCCTGTAGCCCCAGCTGGCCTGGAACCCACTATGTAGACCAGGCTGGCCTTGAATTCACAGAGATCCACCTGCCTCTGCCTCCCAAGTGCTGGGAATACAGGCGTGCACCACCACACCTGGCTGATAAAAGCAGTTTAAAGAAGGAAGAGTTTATTTGGGTTCATAGTTTGATGGTCCAGACTATATAGTGGGGAAGTCATGGCAGCAGGAACATAAGGTGGTTGATCATATTGCATTCTCAGTCAGGAAGCAAAGAGAGATGTTCCACTAACTTCCTCCTTTTTATATGCAGTGATAGCATCACATTTAGGTTGGGTTTTCCTACCTAAGTTAAATACTGTCACAGACACACCCAGAAGTTTGTCTCCTGGATGATTTTAAGTCCTGCCAAGTTCATAAACAAGATTAACTCTTTGTCAACCTGATGCCCAAACTAATCATTTTTCAATCATAGCATTACATCCTTGGTCCCTAAAGTCTCAAGTTTCTTTCATAATGAAAAAGGCATTTAGTCCTTCTTTCAAAGTCCCAAACATCTTCACAGTTCCCAAATTGTTCAAAAATGTAAATGAAGAGTCTCTTATGAGACTCAGGACATCTTTTAACCATGAGCCCCTATAAAATCAAAACTACAAGTTACATACCTTCAATATGCAATAGCACAAAGTAAACATCCCCATCCCAGAAAGGAAGAATGGGGGGTTAGCAAGGAAGGATTGGGCCTAAGGAAGACTGGAACACAGCAGAGGAAACACGAATCCTGTAGCTGCAACAGCCTTTGGTAGTCCCAGTTGTCCAGTTCTTCTGCCCACTATATACATAGACTCTGTCTTTGGGAGCTCCACTCTATGCCTTCAGTGCTTCATCACAGAAACTCCACAGTTCTAGCATCTCCAACATCCTGGAGTCTCTATTGCAACTTACTCTTCAACATCCCAGCTTCTGGCATTGGCTTCTTGATGCCTCCTTGCAGGGAATCCCACCCTGCTGCCATCGTCAGCTTCAGTGGCTTTCTGGAACCTTGGTGCTAACCTCCCAGACTCCACCGTTCTCTCATCTTTCATGCCTGCAAAACTAGTGCCATGTGGACAATGCTGCCAAGTTCTCCTGCCAGCTCAAGACGTGGCCTGACCCCCCGTAGATCACAGTTGCAGTAGCCTTTGTGTGCCTTTGAGGCCAATCCTGGGGAAACACTTTCCTAGGTGGCCGTTTGGAGCAGGGAATACCCATGGTGGCATTCTCCATGTGTATGCTTTCTCTTTAGCAAATGAATTTACATTTTCATAAATTAGAGCCTTCTATGGGTGGGGACTTGCCCTCAGGGCACCTTTCCTATTATCCTGGTGCAGAGCAGTGGTTTCTCTTTAATGGTGATAATCTCTCCAACAACTGCAGCCACTTTCTTTAGACCATCTCTGTCTTCAACTTGAATTGCTCACATCTTTCTTCACCATTCTGCACATTTTCCATGTCTTTCTGCTCCACTTGCCTCTCTCTCTCTCTCTCTCTCTCTCTCTCTCTCTCTCTAGACCTGGATAAGGGCAAGGAGTGTCAACCATGCCACAGCCTGAATGCTATCCTATCTTGAAATTTCCTCCATCAAACAAATTGGTCCATTACTTTTTAATTTAGCCTCACTCAAATTCTCAGGACATGGACAAAATACAGTCACATTCTTTGTCAGAGGGTAACACAAATGGCCTCAAACCTGGTTCCTAACAGAGTCCTTGTTCCCCTCTGAAACCTCTTGAGCACAGTCTTTACTGTCTTCATTTCCATTAGCATTCTGGTCTGCCACCAAAGTGGACCACTGATCTCAGCTTACATTGTTCTAGGGCTTCCCTGGCCTGAAACCTGAAACTCTTTCACATTCTGCCTAAAAACAAGTTCTAAAGGCCTATAAACCACATGGTTAAGTGTTAAGCTTATTGCAGCAATGACCCCACTCCTGGCACTAGTTTTCCATATTAGTTACTTTTCTCATTTCTGTGACAAAAGCAATCGAGGGAGAAAGGACTTATTTGGGCCCAAGATTTGAGGGTACAATCCATAATATGGAAAGGAGGCAGGAAGCAGGAGCATGAGGTGGCTGGTCCCGTTGCATCCTCAGTTAGAAGCAGAGAGAGGTGAATGCTGGTTCCACTTGGTTTCTCCTTTCAGTTTGGTAAGGACTCTAGCCCATGGAATGGTGCTGCCTACATGCAGGGCTGGTCCTCACGACTGTTAAACCTCTTTGGAAAAGTCCTCACAGACATGCCCAGGGGTTGCTGTCCTGGGTGTTTCTAAATCTCATCAAATTGACAATCGAAACTAACTATCACAATAACCCACTTGTTTTCACCTTACTTTGTAACTTTAAAAAATAATTGCCCACCCCATTAAGTTTTATATTTGATAGTTTAAAATATATATGTATGTTCTCTGGAAAGAAGAATTTTTATAAAAATTGAAATTGCTTTCATAATCAACTCCAGAGTTTAAAAAACCATAGGAAACAACACATATTTTAAAGTAGGTTAAAAATACTGTTTGGCTCACTGGAAGAAATTGGCATATTTATTCAGTCAGTTCATCACACTGAGATCAATACAAAGGATATTTGTATGGTGGCTTAAAAATAGTCATATGTTTTAATAAAATGTTCATAATCTAAAATGCAACTTTTCATACTTATAACTTCTCTTTGCTGATTGGAAATTCTTCAGTCCTCCAAATAACTGATGTGGCAAAAATGTTTAAAAAGACCAGGACTTCTATGAAGTCCCAAACTCCTGGTGTCATACATTTTTAGAACAGTGTCTTTCATTTGAGGAAACACTGCTTTAGCATTCTCGACCTCCATTATGCGGTGGCTTTGCCCCATCTAGGCACAGCAGGGCTAAGATACACTTAGTCCTAAATAAGCTTCAATTGGAGGTATAGCTGTAGCTCCATCAGTAGAGTGCTTGCCTAGCATGCACAAAGCCCTGAGTTTCATCCCCAGCTCAAGAAGCCTTATAAAACTGGGAGTGGCAGCACGTGCCTGAAATCCTAGCACTCAGCAGGTGGAATCAGGAAGATTAGAAGCTCAAGGGCATCCTTGGCTACACAGAGAATCTGAAGTCAGACTGAGCTGAGTCCCTGTCTCAAATAAAAATAAATAAATAAACAAAAATAAATAAATAAATAAATGTTTGGATTGTTTGAGCAAGTCTGGACAGAGGCTCTCTAAGGACTTTGCCAATGTAATTCCCAGGGTTTAAGGGAAACCATCTGAGAGACTTGAACCCTTCTGAATGTTCTAAGTAACTTACTCTCATGCCAAAGCTTCCTAGGAGTAAGAAGAAAAATGTTCCCTTTA